TCGGGCCCGAAGCTGCAGAGAGAAAGAGAGAGAGACAGCTACAAAAGCGACCAATCAGGAAAGAGAGCGAGTGTCCGCGAAGACTACTGCAGCAAATGGCCGACACATACGTGGGTTGGATAAGCTTAAGTGCAGAATGCCTGTTTGCTAACTATTTGCGTGCTTCGGGATGAGGGATTTTTAAATCAGGAGATGAGGAAGTGCATTTTAATGGCAATTCGACTAGTATTTCGACTTAGCACTGTCCAATAGCCGGCTAATGGGAGTTGGTAATCCTGTATCCACCGCAGTTTAAAATAACTTTTATCAAGAAGTATTTTAAGTCACAAAATGAAATGAAATTGATTATGAGTCGCGCACAAATATTCTAATTATCCAATCAACATAGAAGCCAGCTGCAAAAGCGCATGTCGAACTCAGCCAGGATTCATTGTTGGGAGATTCTATCATTCACACTGACGCTGGTTTCGTAATGACGGATAGACAGAGGCACCATAATGCATGACGATGAGAAGGTCCTTTGTCAGACCGGATATAATAAAGAAACAAAAAAGGTTCTGACAGTTGTGGATGACCAATCCAAACCCGCTGTCCCCTCTGAGCAGGCCGCATGGAGTACAAAACTAAGAGGCAGTTTCAACGCCTGCGTCAAAGTAAGGTTTAATCCAGAAACGAAGAGAATAAGTTGAGCTAAGGCGAAAGAGACGAGGCGCAGATGACGAAGAAGTTCGAGCTAATTAGGAAAGGTTGCAGCTTAAATTAGAATTATTTGATCACCGTTGCTTAAGTGCAATCCTAGTTAAGTATACCGACTGCTTGAGAACAATTATTCGAATGAAGAACAGCGACTTCGTTCCAAACTAAGACGGTACACACTTGTTTCGAAAATATTGCAAGGATATACTAGGCCATTAAAAAAGACGACTTATGTGGTTTCGGTACTTTCATCATCGCGCACCTCATTAACTCAGTGCTACTGCCCCTTTATCCTACCTGGAGATGTCGAAGAGCAGACCAACTCAAAATCTAGCTCGACACAGTTTGTCCAAATATGAAGATGGATCTTGGATCTTTCGCATTTGGTCATCTTCGTTGAAGGAGAGGATGGGTCGAGCTACCTAGATCCACTATCCTATATCGTTACGCGTGGAAAGGTGCAATTGGGACAAATGATCACAGATGTACTGAGCAAAAGTACATAAGTTTCCACAATATTTGAATGCCCGCTCGAGGATAAAATAAGACACTGATGTTTCTATTCCATCATAAACAAGCTACAATTGAGAAGCGCTTGAGATCTGAGTTCAAGTAGGCAGTTAAGAAGATGCAAGTCGGGGATTATGCTCCGTTTGCTACAGCTGACTCTGTGAGGAAACTTGCTAGCGAAATTCAAAAATCCCGTTTGATATTTTTTTCATGCAAAGCTTGAAATCAGATCCGATACAACGGAACTATGCAGAACACGTAATTCAGAAATAGCTATTCCGGCCCCCCTTGTCTTTGTCGGTTCCGCACTAATCAGAAAATGGCAAAATGTGTTGGTGAGGGACTGAAGGAAAAGACCACTGCTGGGACATTTAAGGGTGCTACTTGGTAAACATTTATAAGAGGCATGCGATTCGGTATTGCCACCCAAAACACATTTAACCAGGGCAAGGGTAAGTCCTTGTTGTCGGTCGCTTTTGCAACGTCATTTTGTTCGCCGGCAAACGTGAAGTCAGGTTTTTGTGACCTCAGCGAAAACCCGCGAGGATCACCATAACCAACCCGTACAAATGCATGGGTAACATCTGCATGCAATCGGATGAACGACACTAGATCATTTACTTTTTAACATGTTCCCTTTAATCCACGTTAATTCCCTGCGCAATCGACACCAGAAATAAAATGCAGTCTACAGCTCCGATTTACGTGACAATTGAGACATATTAAGGGGTACTGAGAGGAATGAGGTATCTTGCAACGCTATTAATTTATTTTACCGCGTGGGAGTGCACACTAGGTGCCGACTTCCTACAAACACACACAGGCCATATCATAATATACTAGTTACCGGCCCAATTTATTATGATTACAAGAATTAGCACTTTAGCATAGGCACGCACTTATAGCAGCAGTATCCTATTCATCGTAGTGCAACTCCTAGTAGAAACGGACACAGTCTGGGAGATAGAGTTGAGAAAGCGGAAACCAAGGCAAGCCATGATTTACTCAGGGCCTCAAACATGTATTTACTTGAAATAGCAAAAACCCGGATTTCACACTCCCTGTTGAGAACAAAGGGGATAGGAGGCCAAGCGTTAATTTCAAATCAGCGTCACCCCTAACTAATGCTAGCGTCAGGAACAGTACCAGTACTAATAAGACTCAGTTACATTTATAAGTCAGTAGGAGTAGAAACAAAAGTAGCCGTCTTGATACCTACTAAGGGTGAGTGAGTATAGGTAAGGCGGTAGTACCCGCGCAAAGTCTGCTGTCACTTAAGACTAAGTTAGGCGGTTTTTCTGGCTTGCATTGGAGAAAGCGGCCAACAGCGGGTCCCGTTTGGTCTTCTTGACCCCGGGCGAAGGTGAAGAGTGCGGTTGGCGTTAACTGCGTCCGCTATCACTATAAACTTCCCTTTGAGGCTGTCATCTTCTGTACCAACCCGTTGATGCACTTCGTGGAATTAATCGAAATCGATGGTCAAACACACGCGCATGTCTTAACACCGTACGTAAATCGCAATTCCAGCATGCATTTACACGGCCTATATAGTTAAATTAGTCACTTTACCTGAATATAGAAAGTTAGGGTAAACTTTATTATCACTCACCTCTGATAGCTCTCGGTCATGCAACATTTCTGAATGCAAGCCAGAAGCATTTGTGTTGTCGTGAGCCAGTCTGGTTGAGAAGGTGGCCGTAGATCTGTCACGACAGCTCACCTCCTCCTCATCATCGAAAAATGCCTCAAAGTTATTGACATTGGCACGTGACTCGCCCTGAGGAGCCCCAAGACGGCCTTTAAACTGAAACTGGCCAGCCATCGGTAGCATATCCTTCCGGTCCTCAAAGTCATGTGGGAGTGGAAGCGAGGCCAAGCAGTCGGCCTTCTTGTCTTCACCTACCTGACTGTAAGCGACTCTGTGGGAACGCATGTCTCCCTTGGGTGATGAATACAAATGAGATGATTGTGAAAGTGCCTGTTTCATCCACAGCAGCCAGGCAGGTTTCACATGTTTGTTAAGAGGCAAACTTGAACTGAGTGAAAACAAAATTAGCGAGTCCGGGCCAAATTAAATTTTTCGAAAAAGACTGAACCACAGACTTTGTTCGCCTGCCTAAAATTTAAAAAACTACATGCTTACTATGTATTTCTATTGTTACACATCAACTAAGAAATGCGTTGGCATAACAAAATATTTTAAAGGGGTCGTCTTCATAATTGCAGACGAAAAGCGAACAGACGCTGGTTAGTTCGGAAAAGTAAACACGCAAGATTTAGCACTTGTTACAAGTAATATAATCACATATGTAAGCATTGATCTTGTACTATGACTTATTGGCGATACAAATTGACACGAGCTAGTAGAATTAACCCCGATTTTCGTAACCTCATGTGCGCTAACACTTCCTATTTGTGCTCAATGCCAACGGCTTATGCGTCCATGGCTAATAAAGACTACGCGCTGAACAGTAAAAAGCTATGGCCTGTACCACACGCAACATGCGAATTCTAAACTGCTAACAAATGCAGTTTAGTGAATACACTTGTGAATCAAACTGACTTTTGTTTGTCAGACTTAATCACCTAAAAGGTATAGAGAGGAAGCCCATACACGTTTGCATAACGTAAATAAACATTGGGCAAAACCTTAATTCGCCCAGCGTACATAGTTCAGTATTCGCTGTGGGTCACGTAACACTGATCTGGCAAAAAATTACTTAGTGACGCCGCATAGCAGTATACAAGAATTTGTAAGAGTATTTTTCAAGCAAATTAGGCCAGTAACATTTAAAATCTTAGACTGCAAAAAATATGAATCCTCGACCACATTTTTTTCTGAAAAAATATTACTTAGTGACACTGCAAAACAACCTAATGTTGAAAATAAACCCACTCCGATTCCTACATAGCGGTACTCGAGCTTCTGACGGAAAATTCTTCAAGCAAACTATGTCGATTAAAAATTGTAGGCCAAGAAACAGGAAAATCCTCCGCCGCGCTTTTTCTGACGCCTGCCCTATACGGACTGTCCATATTTTTGGAAAAGAATGTCAATGTCACGTGTGTGCGAATTCAAGCCACGTACAACGAGTACAAAATATACCTTGGAATTTCCTTTCTTCAAACCCCTTATCAGCGTGAAATGGCTTCCGGGCAAGATCTCGGCATAAAGTACAAAGTAGTGGATATCTCCGACTTCAGCAGCCCCAATTCGCAAATATTTTACAAAAAAGTATGCGTAATATTCATAAAAGTGTATACTCGAAGGAAGTAACTGGTGACCTTTAAAAGCTAAGGCAAGAGGCATCTGAGAAAAATTTGCATAATTGTTTACGTTGCCTTTTTTTCATAAAACCTCATTGGAGAGCCATATAGGTTGGTATTAATCAACATCACAGAAAACGTAGGGCCCAGATTTTTAAGAGCTTAAACGCAATTTAAAATGACGGTTTATTTATAAAAGCCAAGTACTATATCTGCACATTCCGAATTCTAACCCGGCATACCATCCATTAAAATGAGTACAAAAACACCCTGTTCGAGAACTTGTATTTGCAGTCAGGAAATCATTAGAGAGGAATAGGTATTTCACCATTCCTGGCTTAGTTCTGCGCGCAAGGACGTAGGAATAGGCCAGACAAGGTTTAAAGTTGCTCCTGAGAGATGCACACTGAATGTATCATAATATGCATGGTTTCGGTTGAGGGAATCTTCATATGCAGAGCAAAGTTTACTCAGCCTTTGCAAATGCGAAAACCAATGACCTATTACCCGTTTCTGCTACTTTTTTCTGCTTACGAAGGATCGGCGACGTCAGGCGAATAAATGTCTTGTCCCAGCGATCACATCTTCTTCTTTTCAATATTACCTATATGAGCGCTTCGAGTGACAGCAAATAAATGATGGACCCTAATAAATGAAACGCAGCATATTTTTATACAAGAGAATAGTTATTAAAAGTAATCATGATAACAGTTTAAGCTCTTCGCAAGGTTTAACATAAAATCAAAAAACCGTGAGCCACGTGAAATAGGCAAGTCTTCGTCTACACCTAAAAAATTATGGAGATATCATGATCTTGATTCCTCCATGCGCTCGGGCCAATAAACGTGATCCTCCCCAAATGGTTTACTTAATAATAAGGTCATGGTTGTATTGGTTGCTGTCTAGTCTATATATGTTCAAATGCTTAGACATTCCCTGATAGCAAAAGTATCAACAAAACGATAGGCACAGTGCGCATAAAATCAATTCGGAAACAAGGGATATCTATAGCTGATTTTAGCCTAGTTGCCCAGGCGTGCGTCTTTTACAGCTGAAAAGCAAGTAACATGTCGATTAGCTGCTGTCATACAGCAAAGGGCACACTACCTCTCTGCTAACGGAGGCCACTTTACGGACACTATTGTCTATCCGGCTTGACATCAGTTGACCCGTCTCTAGGATCCTTTGTCGCCGTAATGGAAGCCCAGGCGTGTAAGCTAACGAACGAGCAGGCATATCAATTGGCCATCGTCACACATTCACGCGCTCGGGCAGCCTGAGGCTTATCGAGTGTTTGTTGTCGAAAGTATCGCGCGGCGCTGCTGTTTTATGGCAGGATATACGCATATCCTGCCTACTTCTGTGCACTTACCCTTCTTTCCACCCATAAAACAGCAGCGCCGCGCGATACTTTCGACGACAAACACTCGATAGGCGCGTGAATGTACATCTGGGTTTACGAACCGCGGGCATCACCTGATGGTGTGGCTGTCTTGGTGGACTAAGACAATCTGAATCACAA